CCATCTTCAGCTTCTAAATCATTAAGTTTCTTTTTGTTCCTTGTTTGAACTCCAGCTTCAGGTGAACCAATAATGTTCTCCATTTGAACTTGCTTTTGCAGCACTGGATAAGTGGTTTCCCTTGGGTTTTCAGGATTAGCAACTGAGGAGCTGGTTTCATTTGAACCAAGAGTGTTGTCAAAAAGGCTCCTCCAGACCAAAGCACTCCTCACTAGAGATAGAATCAAACTGAAGCTCCTCAAATAATGGTCTCCGTCCAACAGACTATGTGAACAGCTTCTCATAGAACTCAACAAAACCCTTGCAAACCTCGTCCTCCTTACACAATAACTCCCCTTCCACCCGGACCCTCCCAGTATGATTGCCCCTTCTATAGGCGTTGGCCAATCTATGGAAAAACTTCGTGTTCCTGTCACCCTCCTTAAGCCATAAAGCACGAGACTTTTGTCTCCACGAAATCTCCTCCATGATAGCAATCTCAGCAAACTCCGTCTAATAATTCACCCTCCTAACCTTCAAGGAGTCTGCCAGGACCCCTGACTCTCCATCCGATCAATATTAGCAATCTAAAAAAAAACCCGATTCTTCCTCCAAACAAGATTCCCGAAGACCTCTTTATTCCAAATCTTGATATTCTCCTTATGAAGGCGTAAGTTACTTGCGAGCATATGACTTGGGGTACCAACCACTCCAAAACCTTCCCACCATAATCGGACCCTATCCAGAAAACCCTCAGCACGAAGCCACATATTCTCAAATCTGAAGGGAGATCGCCTTTTATGTATCCCACCACAATCCAACATCAACGGAACATGATCAGAGATAGGGCGAGCCAAGGTAGCCTGAACAACATCAGAGAACTTCTCCTCCCAATCTCCTAACACAAGGAATCTATCAAGCCGAGATAGGGTAGGAGGAGAATGGCCACTAGACCAAGTAAAAGTCCCTCCCTCCAAAGGAAAATCGACCAGCCTAGAGTCATCAATAAACGCCGAAAAGGACTCCATGTCAGACGTCTACCTACCCACCGTCAATCTCTCAAATGGAGAGCGAACAACATTGAAGTACCCACCAATACACCATGGTAGCAACCAACGCCTTCCAATATTCCCCAGCTCCTCCCATAGCAATTGCCTAGACAAATCCTCAGTAGGCCCATAAATTCCAGAGAAGACCCATTAAAAACCATCCACCACGAAAGAGTACACATATGAAACAGAGAATCTCCCAATCCAAGAATCCACCAAAGACACCCATCCGCTAACCCACATAACAAGAATCCCACCCAAAGAGCCAATAGCATCCAAATCACACCACTCCACAAATCTCCCACCCAAAGGCTTCGCACAATCAAATCCATCATCGCAGCAATCTTGGTTTCTTGCAGACACACCATGTGACCTCCCCCTTTACGAATCATCAACTTGACCACTTTTCTCCTCACCGGGTCATTTAAACCCGGAACATTCCATGACATAATTTGTAGCTTCATAGGGAAACAGAAGCAAAATAAGTCCTTCCCCTCCACCCACTATACCTTTCCCTGGACCCCTATTCCGTCTTTCATAGGTAGCAAAATCCGCGGATCTCCGCACCTACCTCTCGCCCGCCCCATCCTGAACCCCACCCCTACATCCCATCCTTTCCAAAAACTATGTATTGAGGACATCATGGAACATACTCAACGCCTCCTCCATTCTCCCCTCAAAAGACACTCCCAAAAGAGAGCCCACCTCACCACCTTTCTCTCTAAACCACTCCTCTAAACCTTCCCTTCCTTCAACAGCATCATCACCTCCCGAACACTCCTCTTCTGGTCGAACAACAGCCAAAGGAACACACGTCTCCACAGCCTGCTCAATTCCTTCCCACTGAATCAACCCTAACTCTTCGTCAAGAGCAGAACACAGCACTTCCTCCCAATCCTCAAGGACAGAAGTGGAGGGTGCGCAACTAGCCATCGGAATCTCAAACTCCTCATCAGAAAAAAAAAAACCCCTTGACTCAGTCTAAAAACCTTTCAACGCCAAATGAACCCGCAGTTTCTTAATCAAAGAAGCAACAACAGAAACATCATCCAAATTAATCTGCACATCACGCCCCACACAAACAGTAACACCCTCTCGTATCATGTCTGGAAACCGCACAGAACCCAATTTCTTGCCCTGACCTTCACCTTTCCGATCATCCAAAATCTTTTCCGAAACTGCCTCAAACACCGAAGACAACCTTTTGGAGAAAGAGGACAGCAGTCCCTTCTCTAATCTCGAACACCGCTTCGACACCCCACAAGAAGGGGTATAAGAAGAAGAGGAAGGAGAAAGAAGAGAGGCTTCTCAGCAAAGAGGTGGACTTACCCGGACTGGAAACAAAGTGATAACTCAACACCCACTTCTGCTTCTCTTTACGTGACCATCTCATTCGAATTGCAGGAAGGAGAACCTTCTTCTTAGTCCTCAACCGGCGACCTTGCAGAGGGGGCACAACCCGTCGTCCATCCCTGTTCAAACTAGAAGGTTGAGGTGCAGGTCCATCAGTTGAAGAGGAAATAGGCCCAAACCTATTAACCACATCCAGACCACAACCAACAAGATCAACACGTGGGCCACCCTTCAAACTGCAGCCCAAACTTGAAGGAACATTCAAATAGCAACCATCCTTGACAACCTGGGCCGCCTCATCACTAACCGGTCCACTATGACATGGGTCCGGGCATCTAACAACCGCAGGCCCATCACAAGGCTCACGAGGAAACAGATCAACACTACAAGGGACAATGGCCCCAATCACCAGCCCAACCATGGGCCCATTAGAACAAGAGGATTGCGTGAACTTTCGAGGCCCAGAAATTGAAACATATGTGGATACAGCTGTATCCCATTGCGAACAGCCAATTCTTGAGCGACAACCACGTTGCTGGGTCCCTAACTCTTCCCCACCCACGCGTTAGAGGCACGTGGAGGCCACCTTGGTTTCTTCTCCGATCCCCAACATAGAAATCCGGCATACGGTCATGAACGCTGAAGCCTCCACCCCTATGAAAGTCCAGTCGAGCAACATGCCCGCTACAATTAGACGATGAAGAACCATCTCTCCTTTTCAGAGTGAAGAGCCTTCTGAAGCATTCTGTGTTACGAACCCACAACTTATCCCTCCACACCTTCCATTTCTGGAATTCAACCTTCCCCTTCTGTCCCATTGACTCTCATCTCAGCCAATCAACCTCCTTCAGCAAATGCGAGCCATCACCTCCTTCCAAACTGTCCATCGTCAGGACAAGCTCAGGGTGCTTCTCCTCTCAAACACTTTATAGCAGAATCGATCATCGTGAACGAAGATAAACGGAGGGCAACCACGACCATCAGAGACCGTGATACGAACTCTTTCTGCATCCAAAGATTCATCCACATCAACCCAAATAAAACCACCGCACAAATCGCCGACCGTCACAAACAAAGCATGGCTCCAGAGATGTAGAGGGAGGCCATAGAGCGTAACTTTCTTCAACCCCTTCTCCTTCAAAACCTCATAGTAACCCATTCTGAAACACAAATAATCCACTCGGAGAGTGGCCCTACCCCAGTCTCGACGACCCTTCTTGAGCACACAAGCCGCCTCAGCCGACGAGGGAAGACGAAAAAGAATCAAAGAGTCCAGCAAAGGCGAAACCACCACTTCAGCTGAGACCTTCCAAGCACGCGATGCCCAAGCAGCGATCTAAGCCCTATCACCCACTTCCTTGTCAAACTTACCCACCAAACACGATCGCAGGTCCTCTTTCCTCCTTCCAACCGAATTGTCATCCAAAAAGATCGAAGGACCTCTGTATGTATTTGCAGATCTGGCGGACAAACCCTGAAAAAGACGAGGTAATCTAGCAACCTCCAAGAACGAACGCATAATACACCAGGAAAAGAAGACAGATGAATAGAAAAAAGGGAAAAAGAGGAAAAAGAGCCTTCATCGGAGTAGATGACTCCGATGAACAGAGGTTCTGCTCATGAGAGAGAGAGAGAGAGAGAGAGAGTTATCATTTTCTATTTAAGTAAATGTTTTAATGCAAAATTGGACCACAGAGCATCACACGCTTTTTTCATTTTCTTTGTACTACATCTGCATACAAAGAAAATGAAAAAAGAGGTAACAGTGACCAAACATTATCAAATATACTGACTCCCAATAAAGCATTGAAGTTGACTAGCATTTGTAACATGGCCAACAGTGAGGCAATATTCTTTCCATGTCTCTGAAGTCCTGTTTTGGAAGCTGAGACATGGAAAGTTACTCGAAAGGAGGAAGATATTTGAAAAAAGTTCTGGACCATCTTTTCACTTTATAGTCTCTGTAGATCACAAGTCTTCATAGTTAAAACTTTCATAATCTATGTACAGATTTCTTTGAGTGAAATAATTACCCAGATCGCTTAATCAGTGTGTGCACAACAGATCATCATACTTAATGCATTGAATTATATCATAAATTGTCACAAACTACCTATAAATTTGTTTATAGTTTTTATCTAAAGTCCTAGATACCCAACTGTACTTGCTACTTTATATTAACCCACCAAAGCAAATATGATAGAACATATCACATGCATTCATTAGTATATGCAGAGCTTCACTGACCACCACCACCACACATTTATAATCCCATAAATAAGGAAGTTCATTGTAACATTGAAATGAAGTACAATTACAGCATTAAATCTTGAAGAAAACAATGTAGAATAAATAAAACAGAAAATTACCATAACACTGAATGTATATATTCAAAGTCAGAGCACTTTTTGAAGAAAATACAAGAACATCAAGTAGTTTGCTAGATATCATTTTATTTCTATATGACATTGTAATACATTAGTAGTTTCAAACATTATAAAGGTCATGATAAATAGAAAACACAAGGGCTGAAGATATTAATCTAAATAGCTTACAAGTATGACAAAACACATTAATCGAAACAGCCACTTGCAAGTTGCAACATTTGATGGGACTCACCGTATCTTTTCTAATCTTATCGATCTCATCTGCGTTTGATAACTCAAATTTCTCCGCATAGTACCTTTCTTTGTACCCAGGCTCCCCTAATTTCACCTGAGGAAAATAGAAAGACTAATTTTATCAGCTAGCATTAGAAGAGAGAGTAATGTTTCACATTAACAAGCAGATGCGCAAACATATAAAATTTTGGCATCCAAGAACATACATAATGGGGGAACTATTTTTTTTATGAACAAGATAAAACATATACAACTGCACGTACGAGCAGGGATTACTTGTCGAAGAATACCATTTGCCACATCAGAAAAATTGATATTAAGTCAGGAACATTTAAAATTTTGAACTTGCAACAGGGACAAGGATGGGACAGGGTTGGGAAAAAGACGGAACTGAATCATCCTCATAAGTGATCACAGAAGGCTCAAACACTCAAAATGAACGAATTGTTGAAGAATTAAAAGGGAAAGAGTGTATAAGAAAACAAGGGGGGTAGGAAGCATACAGATATCTCCACTGTCTTTAACTGTTGGGGTTCCAAGTCTATTAGCAATCACAACTTTACATAGCTAGAATCATAAATTTTGTGCTAATATTCTTCTATGGGAAATGGAATCATAGGGAAAGGAAAAAACAGGAACAAAAGTGGTAAGATAGTAAATATTAAAACAAAGAGCTTAGCAGTCGGCATGCTTATCCTGCTTATCACTTTGAAGGACAAAACACCTCATTCAACAATGGAATCAAACTCCAAATCAGTTGATCGAGGTAGCCAATATAGAAATTAGGTAGATATGAGTACCTAACCACACATTACCTGTGTTGTCAAGGTGTCATTACTTGCTGCGCCAAATTGTGTAAAGGTGGCAGCTTAAATAGCCTTTTCATACGACCACACGGCATTCCTACAGAATGCATGTTTTACACCTAAGAGCATCACACGGGGCATTTTCTACAGGAACAGTATCCAACACTTCTCTCCACTAATGGTACATACATAAGACTCCATAATGATCATGTCAAACGACTATGAATCACCAAACAAGATGAAGATTTTTTTCACCAATCACCCTATGGCTAAGACCGGTGACTACGCAACTCTTTCACCGTGTCGAGCGCTTTTTCAATAGGCTTATTATATCCAACAAACTAACTATTTTTAATGGGCCTCAATTTTCCATTTCTTTGCCCATGCAACCCGTCTTCTCTATAAATGTAATAGTCTCATAATCTCAAACAAGGCTCCATATCCATACCTTATTCACTACTTTCTTCACATGCACATAAGATATTTCAAGTGCAGTCCCAGCCTTCTCCACAGGCATATATATAAAAATACAAGGTTTGGCAACTATTTCTCTAGTCATGCAGCAAGCCTATTCACAGAGAAACCACCTTGTTTCTCCATAGGTATATCTTTATTGTTATATTTATTTTAATATTAAGGGTAGTCAGGGGCGGAGCTGCCCTCCAAAATTTTTCAAATTTTTTTTTAGCAGCCCCCAAAATAATTATATTGTAAATAAACTTAATTCACGGTCCCAAAATTCATAATAAATTCTAACAACCCCTACACACAAAAAAAAAAAATGCAACTTTATTTGCATATAGACATGTATAATATTCATTATATGAATTTAGGAGAGAAAAAGAAGAAAATTATACCAATGTCCCTTGTGTCTAATTAAATGAATAAAATTTTCTTCCCAGACATAGTGAAAGTGAAAGTAAAAGAAAGTGAAGTGAAGAAAAATTAAATTTCCAACGTCAATTTGGTTAGCACGAAAAAATTGCAATGATTTAAATAACATGTAATTTACCATAAAAGAAAGGGCAATGTTGTAAGTTCACAAAACATTCTCAATAAATCAAAATTTTCTAGTCTTTTTTGGAAGAAAATTTTACGGGAAAATTAGGTGGTTATTGAAAGTGATTTTCCTCAAAATTTTCATCTTCCTGCTAACCAAACTCCTAAAATGTTTTAAAAAAAATCCATTTCCTTTCTTTTCTAACTATTTCCATCTAATCAAATGAAGCCTAAAGATGGTGTTTATAAGAAAATTATTTAGGATTAAATATAAATCTCTATCAAGTAGTCTTGGGAGCATGGGAAGAAAGAAAAACTAAAGTATTGTGAGAGCACGACGGCAAGAATGCCAACAACAATAATGATATTATATATGTTAATATTTTTAGGTGTAAATTGCACTGACACCCCCTGAGGTTTTGGTCAACGCCACTCAACGGACTATCAATGGCTTTTTTTACATTGACACCCCTTGAGGTTTCAAAAATGTGCATTGACACCTCCTCCAGACCTCTAAGACTATATGAAACTACCTTTTAACCCTTGGACTTGTCAACAACTCCATTTAAATCATGAAATTACAAATTTAACCTCCTAACTAAGTTTAAAGGATCAAACTAACCTCTTCATCTCTTCTATACATCTAGATATAGTTTATATATAACAATACATATATCACCATAACTATCACCACATCGAGAAACCATTACCACAACATAAAAATAAAAAATAAAATTAATTAATTATTTTTTAAATAACTATGTAACTGTTCATCATCATAACCACTACAACCACACCCAAACACCACCATAACCAACACAGTAGAAAAAATAAATTTAAAACATCAATGGCTAACCTATACTTATACGTCTCAAACGCCACCAAAACCACCACCACACCAAAACAACACCACCAACACACCCAACCTCTACTAAAACCACCACCACCACCACAATAGAAAAAATAAAAATAAAAATTTGAAACACCCTGATAACCTAAACACCACAATAGCCACCCACACCCAAACAACACCACAACAACCACCACCAGAGTAGAAAAAAATTAAAAACAGCTATGGCCAGCCCATACCCACCACAAGGGAAAAAAAAAAAACACAACCATGTCCAACCCAGATGTCACCACCACCACAATTAGGGGTGTTCAAATAATCCGCCAATCTGTCAATTTAGTCCAATTCGTGTGGTTCAATTTGGTTTTCTAATCTCGTGGCTCGATGATGGTTTGAAAAATTAATAATCCGTAGTGACCGGATCGTTAACAAATTAGGTGTTGAAAAAACCGAATCGATCCGTAAACCGATCCATGGCAATCCATTCAATTTTTACACACACACACACACACATATATATATATATATATTGAGTAAAGTGATAGCTATTGCATTATACTGTAACCAATAGGGAATCTCACATGGGCATGGGCTCAAAAGCAGACAAAAGAGTCAAAAGACAGTCTGGGGAGAAAACAAAGCCATATGAGTGAGGCTTTTTTTTTAATTATCAAACAGGCGTCAATGTCTTCAACAGATGCTCCTACTGTCTTCTTAGATTGGTTAGGAACGATTGCAACGGAAGCCGGAAGTTCCATAAGTTGGATAACAGTACACACAATTACATAGGAGAGCCGCTCTCATCAGCTAAAGCTAAAGCACAACAGATCTCCTTTCTTCTCAGCAAATCTTCTTTCTTCTCAATAAATCTTCTTCACTACAGATTTTCTTTCTTTTTCTGCAAATCTCCATTCTTCTCCGATAAATCTTCTTCCTTCTCCATTCACGGTAGCATCGTTGACTTCCAATCTATGGAAACGTCCAATCCCTGAAACCGAACAAATCCAATCCATTATTTCACAAATCGGTTTGGTTCGGTTTGAGTATTCCCACGGATCGGTTCGGTTTCACAATTTACCAATCCGTTGAGACCAGTTTGGATTACCTTTAACCCCTAATCCAAACCAATCCGAACTGTGGTTAACACTAACCACAATAGAATGGAAAAAAAAAAAAAAAAAAAAAAATTAAAAGCAGCGACGGCTGTTTTTATCTCACCATTCCCACTAATTCTCCTCTCTCCTCTCACACCTACTTTCCATCCCTTACTCGTCTCAATCACAAATCCAACAACACCACAACCACTATACCACAACATTTTTTTCCCCAAATTCTGCAAATTAACGTGCCCTAGCCACCAATTACATTTCCCTCCATCGGCCACCCGAAACTCCACCAGCAAGAAGAATGACGAGGGGTGCAAGCGTCAGTGGCGAGTTTGGAGGACTGCGGTGCTCTGAAAGGCGGCGAGCTAGAAGTCTCCTCTTGCTGACCCTTCTCTTCCAAGTTTCTCACAAACCCATCAATCACACGACAAATCGCCAGCTGTGGTGACAAGGTTTTCCGGTCACTCGAGAAACAGTCGGAGGAGCGCCGCCGCTATATAGAAGCTCAGAGAGCAGCGGCTTCTGCCTCATATGACATTAGATCGAAAATTCAATCTGATGACAAGAGGACGATAGCGATGCGGAAATGGCCAGCTAATTTGCCCATGGATGAGACGGATTTGTAGCGGCGGAAGGCCCATGAGGCAGCGAGGATATGGCGCGATTCCAACGATGAGGTTGCTTGGCGAGGAATCGCGGCTAATCTGAGGTCTGGTTGGTACTATATGAATGGCAGCAGTGCCGCTCCGGCGGCAAAACAAATTCAAAATTTAGGGGTGGGAATGGCCGGAGGGACCGGGATACGGTTCTGGGCATGGCCGAAGGCTTGAGTTTGAGCAACCCAGTTCAGAGTATGGATTTGAGTATGGTCGGAAGAGCAAGTATGAAGAGCCCAAGCCAGAGTTTGGATCTGGGCATGGGCAGAAGCCGAAGTCGGATGTACCCACCTCGGGATCTGGGCATGGGCAGAGGCCAGAGTTGAAGTACCTTTATTTTCTCAAAAGAAACAGTAAGGGGTTTTTTGCACCTTTTGAATCTAAGAGGGGTGTTTCTTTCACTTAAGCCAAATTATAAACTTTTCTTGTATTTCGGCTTCTTCGGGTTGCTCGGATTAGTAAAATCTTTGCCCAAATCCCGTCCATAATAAATTTGGGCTCTAAAGTATAAACCCACTCTCAGTCCCATGATCTCAAGTATCTCGGCAATGCCCGTATAATTTTCGGGCGGGACTTAGGTTGCTCGGTTTAGGCCCACCCAAGCCCCACCCCTACAAGAAACCATTTGAATATATAGGGTAAAAGAAACAGTTTTTCTTCTAGATATCAATAAAACTCTTAGTCTTGATCATTAAGGTGGTTAATAATTGTAAAAATGACAACCAAAGCCCATTCTTAAAGAATAGGAACCAAATTCTTGTATTGATACCCCTTCCTGAAGCAACATTTGTTGAAGGCGTTCATGAATTCAATCACATAGCTAACCAATATAGGGAGGAAAAATAAAGTTAAACAAAGGATCACAGAAGCGATGAGCAGCTGGAAATGATTTAAACTTTGTACCAATTACAGCCCAAATAGAACAGTCTCCTGTTCAGAATCAGAGTTTTATTGCTGTAAGGTAAAAGAAACAGTTTTTCTTCTAGATATAGATAAAACTCTGAGTCTTGATGGTGAGCTTCAGCTTATATATATCCAATATAAATGAAGGCAATTAGTGATGGTAACTCCAAAAATTTCCCTCCAACTAATTTATTAAATAGTGTAAGTATTTAGATTCGAATTGCTTATGGAAGATTTACAACCAACACACTTCAAGCTGATCATTAAGGTGCTTAATAACTGTAAAAATGAGAAAATAAAGTTAAACAAAGGGCCACAGAAGTGATGAGCGTCCGGAAATCATTTCAACTTTGGTCCAATTACAGCCCAAATCAAACAGTCTCCTATTCAGAATCTGAGTTTTACTGATGTAAGTTAATCTAGGTGTGCAATAATTATATTATCTTGACAATAAAACCAATGAAAATAACTGACCTTGTCCACAGCTGGAGCCTGGGGCTCTTCAGAAACCTCTTTTCTTGACTTAAGCTTCATCTCTTCATTTCTCTCAATAGACTGAAAAGTAAAACCAGTGTAAGTAGTAAATAATAAATATTCACCCAAAATATATGGATTTACAACCAAAAAGAAAAAAATAAAATAAAGAAATAAAGAGAAAAATGAGCGGAAGACAGTTCCTAAGAATAAATGAAAACCTACGAATCACAGCAAGCAAAAAATGCTCACAAAAGAAAATTCAGGAAAAGTGACTTGACACTCTTGACAAATTTTTTTTTTTTGACAAGTAAAGATTGTATAAAAAGCGTTCAAAAGGGGAACGCATCCCTCAAAAGCAACCCATGGCCAAATAGGGCCTCTAAACCCTCCAAGACAACACTCAGACTTTAATGAAGTTTACTTATAAAAAAAAATTAAAAAAAAAATAAAAAAAGAAACACACACACACTGACTTTATAGTCCACAAATATTAATAATACAGCTTTGGATGATGTTTGGATAAAGCACAGAATTCCTAGCATTCACATGAGTCACCTAAAACTTTTTTAGAAAGCCAATAGAAAGAGAAGCAAAATTAACTGCAAACACCGGCTGCCAACTATAGTTCTGGTTATCATGATAACAATTATCTTAGGGTCACTAATAACCATCAAAAGTAAATGAAAACAATAGAAGCCTGAGTTTCTCAATTGGCATCAAACAACTGAAGCATTTTTGACAGGATAAAGAGTTAAACTTAAGACATTTGTTATAATAATGAATTAATTTAGTTAGGTTTCGACTAATTCTACTATGAGAATCACAATAGATGCAAAAAGCTAAACAATAATATATGGCAAAAAAAAACCAGCCAAACATCACATTGTGCAGTCACAAAGCTCCAAAAGTACAAACCAAACTGGATGATAATTCTCAAAAAATTAATTTTTTGTTATTTGTTTATTATGAGCCAATAAGAAAATCATATAAACATGCAAAGAGTAAGGCACGGGCCTGATTGAAGTGAGGTGTGTGTGAATTCAATTTAACCAATGTATAATTTGGAACAATTCAAGATATGCAACGCAGCTAATAAAAAATTCTTTTAGACATAATTTTTCATATTTTTTGGAAAATTAAGATATTCATTCATTGAAAAAAAAAAACACTTATCAAAAAATAATAATAATAATAATAATTGAAAAAAAGAAAACGATATGAATAAATGAATGAAGAAAAAATAAAAGGAGTGTTTTTTTTAGCCTGGAGCCAACTAAAAGGCATGAGCTTGAAGGCTTCACGTGAACCTCGCTAAAGGGGCCTAGTGTCACAAGCCTGGCCCTTGACAATTTCCATTTGACCCAAAAGCTTAAGTGATTAGATAGTGCTGCATACCCACCCTTATTAGCCCATGACTTTCCCCATCCAGATCCAACGTTGGACAAGAACCCTCTAAAACCTAGCATGTAGGATGTTGAGGCATTGCAACTGAGTGCCTGAACCTTAACGAGGCTAGGGCATTTTAAGGGCCTAAGCATGCCTTAGACAAATATGATTAAAGTGTACACACTTTGTATGCGGAAATACACATAAACAAATTTCCGGTGTAATGAAGCAAATGACCAATTCCAGTATTCTACTAGTCATTTTTCATGGAATGCAGCATTCTTAATAATGAACTGGCTGCACAATAAGAATCAACTTTTCAAAATACAACGTGATAAGCGCTTAGTGGACATCAAATTTTAGGGGACCTATTGTATTATGAAACTGATACAACCATCAGTTTGTTTAAACTAATAAATGCATATTTCTCAATCAACCAAAATGTATATTCTCTTTATAATATATATATATATATATATATTAAATAAGATTGTATATAAAGAAACGCATCCCTCAAAAGCTACACAAGACCAAATAAGGCCTCTAATCTCTCAGAGTCTAAAAAGTCCACGATCTCATCCAAGGATTTACAATTTCTCCCAGGAACCCAACAAAAAAGAGAGCTAATAATGGAGAATTTTAGCACACCAATAGAAGTCTCCTTCCCTTCAAAGGATCTCCTATTTCTTTCAAGCCATGAACACCACCAGACGCACAAAGGCGCGATCCTCCAAAAACCACGAACTATACAACCTCTCCAAGCTTCAATCAAGCCTCTAGAAGATCTGGGCATAACCCACTGAACCCCAAACAAACCCAACATCAAAGCCCAGCAATCCCGAGCCACTGGACAATGTAAAAGGAGATGATTAAATGTTTCCTCGTCTCTCTTGCACATACAACAGTTGACCACAACCTGTCTCCTCCTCTTAAGATTATCTTGGGTCAATATCTTTCCCAACACAGATGTCCAAACAAAAACACCACCTTGAGGGGGGCCTTAGAACACCAAATAGTCTTCCACGAGAATGCATCTCTTGGAAAATTCGCAAGACATCTAAAGAATGACTGAACCTCAAAATAACCCTTAGAAGAGGGGACCCACACCACATAGTCAGGGGTGCCACTCACAATCTCTTGGCGATACAGCAACTCCAGAAAACCAATAACTTCCTCAATCTCCCAATCCTGAAAATGCCTCGAAAAAAGCGCATCCCAGGATGTTCTTCCACTATCAAGACGATAGTAGTCACTCACCAAGGCATGTCTGTCTATGGCAATCTTGAAAAGTCTGGGAAAGGAGAGAGTAAGAAACCGCTCCCCACACTAGACCAAAAACAAATTCTTTTACCATCCCTGACTCGAAATCTGATATGCTTAGAAAATTCATCCCATCCCTTTTTGATGAATTTCCACACACCAACTCCACTAGGACTAATATCTAAACTTAGAGACAATTGTCATTGGAGACTGTCTTTTGAGTGGGTCAGCATTTCTGTAGTCTCTCATCCAAAGATACAAAGATGCTTGATACAAATTAAACCCATCTTTAAGCAAAATTATTCTTGACTTCAAAAATCCGTGTGTTTGAAACTTATCACGCTTACCAAAAGTACAACTTTCTCTACATGGGCTCCAAATTAAGAGCTCAGGACCATCTCTCCCCATACACCCAAACTGATACACACAGACCTGACAATTGCCAGCGCACACACAAAAGGGAAATATGTGACACACACACAAAGAGAGAGAGAGAGAGAGGCAATATGAACTGATTGTTTTCTGACTCATATAACGTGCAACTTGTACTTATCAACGAACGGGGGAAAAAAGAAACAAAAAACTATTAGTGGACTGTCCGTTTCTCTGTTTCCAGCAGGGCTGGAGTTTGGACCGTCACTATTGCCTACACTAGATGATTCTAAGCTTCTATAAAGGCTGTGGCACAGATATAAAACCAATTAATGATATGGTAGTATGTTTGAAGCAAGATCAATGTTTAAAATTTTTTCCTAAAATCTCTTAAAAGTTTGTGTGGGGATTCACTGGGGATCAATTTAAGTTTCATCTAGTGAATTAAGAAATGGTGTGCACTAGTAGGGGTGCACACGGTCCGGTTCCAACCGGAACCGATCTCAACGGTTCCTTAAAAATGGAACTGGAACCGTTTAGATCTGGAACCGGAACCGAAGAGATCTGGAACCGGACCTAACCGAACCGGCATTCACGGTTCGGTTCCAAGGAACCGTTGATTGTCGTTGACTGCTACAATGGAAACCTAAATTTTCTAGGAGCTTTGCAAATCTCCAGCCACCCTTCCTTCCAAGGCTTGATATGATAGGTCATTCTGGTATGCCAAAAAAAAAATAGAAATAGAATAGGATTTAGTCTGCAAAACAATTATTACAGTCTTACAAACCTTGATTAATTGATTTAGAAAAAAAAAAAAAAATTAAACCAAAACCTACAAGTTAGCAGTTGCAGATAGAGAGGGGGGCAAGCTTAAGAGTTGAGAGACAGCGGCTAAAGCTCGCGAATGGCGAACCCGAACTGGAACAACGGGCAATGGAAACTGAAAGATATGGGTTTTGATTTTTTGAACAATCTGAAATGATATGCCGATATGGGTTTTGAACTTTTGATTCTTGCAGACAGATAGATAAAGTGAAATATCAAATATATGGGTTTTGAACTTCTGATTCTTGTAGATTTTGTAGTTTGCAGTTGCAGAGAGAGAGAGAAGTTCAGAGTCGAGAACGAGAATAGAGATGGAGGCGATTGGGATTTGGGGAGGCTGAAATGATTTGCCCTAAAATATTATCTGATAATCTGAATATGTGGTCAGTGGTTTAAGTTACAAACTTACAACTAGCAGGATAGCACTAGCAGCCACGGCCCACAGCCCACAAGTATAATTATATAATATATATATAGATATATATATATAAATATTACGGTTCGGTTCCGGAACCGAACCATGAGACCAGAACCAGAATTGAACCGAATCTCAACAGTTCCTCATTTTAGGAACCGGAACCGGAACCGTAAGAACCGGAAATTCGGTTCCGGTCCCGGTTCCACGGTTCTTTTGTGCACCCCTAGTGCAGCCCCCCCTATCCTGCTAAGGGCTTGGGCGTTAGGAGGTTTGATATGCTCAATAAAGCATTGTTAGGTAAATGGCTTTGGAGGTTCACAGTGCAGAAAAACTAATTACGGATGAGGGTTATAAGGTCAAAAGTTGGGGAGAATAGACGTGAATGAAGCTCTGAGGAAGTGATTTCTCTAGCAGGGGTGAGAGCTTGGAAATTCATTTGGAAAGGTTCAAATGAATTTTAAAAGCATGTTCGGTTCAGGGTGAGGAATGGGACACATTCTGTTTTGGGAGGATACTTGGTGTGGGAATAGACCACTTGCATGCACTTTCCCGAGACTACCCAGGATTGCAGTGGTTAAGCATATGTCATCACTAACTAATATTGTCTTGATAACGAGAGGGTGACATGGGTTGTGCAGTTCGAGCAGTATCTTCAAGATTTGGAGATGGAGGATATTGTCAAGGTTTTTTGCTTTACTATATCAACCTAGTGTTGGATTGGGAGGGGCTTGATGAGCGGTATTGCCGTGAAATCACATCATGGGGGTTTTGAGATGCGGTTTTTTTGTTTGACATCTCAAGGGTCCACTTCCCTTTGGAAGGCAGTTTGGCAACCAAAAGCCCCTCCAAAGGTGACTTGTTGGGGCAGACGGTAATTTTGGGGAGGATTTTGACAGTTGATGATCCGAGGAAAAGGTGCTGGATTGTAGTGAATTGGTATTATACATGCAAAAGGGATGAGGAGGCCGGTGAACCATCTCGTTTTGCATTGTCCAGTGAGAAGGGATGGTTGTGTTAGAGAGTTGTTATTCAGGCTTCGTCTTCCTTCTTTGGGTTGTGGCTATTTTAGAGTTGTTATATTTTATATATTTTTAGGGTAAGGGTAGATTTGTCTTTTTCTTTATTTTTAGTTAGGGATTATTACTTTATCCTCTTCTTTGTAATACAACATTCTGTAATTTACAATAGAGAATTCTTCTTCTTTACTCTTTTGTACAAGCCTTTTCATGGTATCAAAGCAATGACAGCCTCGGCAAGCACAACAGTGGCAATCACATCTAATCATTATTTTTGATAAGCAAACATTGTATAAAAGAAGCATTCAAAAGGGGAACGCATCCCTCAGAAGATACACAAGGCCTAATAGGACCTCTAAACTCTCAAAGAGTCCAAAAAATCAACTATTTCCTCCATGGATTTACAATATCTCCTTATAACTCGCATCTAATCATATCAACTTCGTTCACAATTTCTCAGTATCTTTCTCACTCTCAGGCTTATCGCCTCTGCATCAGCAATCGTATCGCAATGCAACAGTAACCCTAAATTGGCAATTGAAATTTCACTTCTGCTTCAACTTCACATTACACAATTTCGCATCATATCATCTGGTGTCATAGTAGCATCTACTGTCTGCATCATATCATCGATTCTGGCCCTGGACTTCATCGCATAGCATCACACAACTTCGTTATCTGTTTCAGTTTATGCAGCCAATGGCACACCAATTTCATTAGCTGGTATTGGAACTATTATTTCTCCTCATCTGTCTCTTTCTGATGTCTATTGCATTCATCAGCTTATTTGAACTTAATTTCTGTTAGTCAATTATTTGACTCAGGATATTCTCTTCACTTTTCTTCCGCCAGTTGTATTGTACAAGATTCCAATTTTAAGAATTTGATTGGGACAAGTCGTAGAGAGGGAGGAATTGTATGTTCCAGCTATAGTTGCTTGTTCTGTTGACTTGTCCTCTTCCCAGTAAAGTCATAAGTCATCTAGTTTTTATATAAGGCACTCATGTCCTGGACATATTTCTAGTTCTCGTTTACACTATTTAGTTTCTGCTGGCGTTTTGGGTAATTTAAATAGTCATGATCATTCTAATTGTAGTGGTTGCAACTTGCAACATTTTCTGCTTTGCCCTTTAATAAGAGTTCAGCTGTCTCTATGGCACCATTTGATTTAGTTCATTCTGATGTGTGGAAACCTGCTCCTGTTTATACTAAGGGAGGGTCCAGATATTATATTTCCTATATTGATGATTATAGTCAATATTATTGGATTTTTCTTATGAAGCGTCATTCTGAATTCTTTTCTATCTTTAGTGATTTTCGTGCAATGATTCGCACTCAAGATTCTTATGTTATCAAATGCTTTAAATGTGATTTAGGTGAAAAGTAAAATTACAGTTCCTTCCTTGATATGCTAAAATCTGATGGCATTTTTCAGTGATCTTCCTGTATAGAAACTCCTCCGGAGAAGAATGGTGTTGCTGAGCGAAAGCATTGACACATCATGGAGACTGCACGTTCAATCCTGTTATCTACTAGTGTTCCCAGTAGTTTTTGAGGGGAGGCTGTTCTCACGGCCATACATATAATCCCAACTGTTGCTACCTCTGGTGTTTCTCCTTTCGAACAATTGTTTGGTAAGCCTCCAGATTATTTTTCCTTGAAGGTTTTGGTTGCACATGTTTTATTCTTCTTCCTAAAGCCGCTTGTACTAAATTATATGCACATTCTGCTGTGTGCATTTCTTGTTTATGGTGAAGGCCAAAAAGGGAATCGATGCTATGATCTAGTTGCTCAAAAGTTGTATGTGTCTCGTCATGTAATGTTTCTTGAGCATATTCCTTTATTTTCTAGTCCCTCTAGTCCTAGCACTTTGAGTAGGTCTGATCTCTGATGACAATTCTATTGATGATGTTTCCTCTTCTTCCGCACCAGAATCTTCCTCTGTTGTTCCTCCTCCTATTGTTCACACTTATGCTCGCAGGAATAAAGCAGTACCTTTTGCACGTACATTTCCTTCATCTCTCTCAGCAGACTCTCCATTGGTTTCTGATGATGTTGATCTTGCACCACCTCATTATCCACAACGTGTTCTTAAGTGTCCTGATCGTTTTGGTTTTTCTAATTCTTGTTATTATACTGCTTTCTGTTCTTTTTTGGCATCTATTCATTTGTTTTTTGAGCCCACCTCTTATAAGGAGGCTGTTCTTGATCCTCTTTGGCAACAGGCAATGAATGAAGAGCATTCTGCTTTGCATAAGACTAGGACATGGGACTTGGGGATTTTACCTCGTGCCAAACGTGCAGTTGGATGCAAGTGGATCTATAAAATCAAGACCAAGTCTGACGGCTTTGTAAAACGATATAAAGCTCGTCTAGTTAAAAGAGGATTTACCCAGGAGTATGGTATTGACTATGAGGACACTTACGCTCCTGTAGCCAAAATGACAACTGTTCGCACATTGATTGTTGTTGCATCTATTCACCATTAGAGTTTGCCACGATTGGAGGTTGAAAATGCCTTTTTGAATGGAGACCTAACTGAAGATATATATGACTCCTCCTGCTGGCCTTTCTCACAGTCCTGGAGATGTGTGCATACTTAAAAAGGCATTGTATGGTCTCAAAACAAGCACCTAGGGCTTGGTTTGAGAAGTTCTCTACGGTGATTTGTGCTTTGGGTTTTCAACCCAGTCATCGCTCCGTTCTTAGTTGTCGTATTATTCTATACGTTGATGACATGATTTTGAGTGATGGTATTGATGGTATTACTCCGTTAAAGTCTCAATTGCAGCAATAGTTTCAGATGAAGGATCTTGGTCCTTGTCGTTACTTTCTTGGCATTGACATAGCTCATTCTCCCAAAGATTACCTTCTCTCAGTTTAAGTATGCATCAGATCCTATTCACAGAGCTCATCTCACTGATATTTGGACAGTTGAGACTCCCCTAGATCTTAATGTTCGCTATACTCATACTAGTTATAGTTGGCAGTTTAGTGTCTCTCACTGTCACTCGGCCTGATCTTACCTATGTTGTTCACATTGTTAGCCAATTTGTATCCTCTCCGACTACTATGCACTGGTCTGCAATTCTTTGTATCTTGTGCCATCTTCGGGGTGCTTTGCATCAGAGTTTATTGTTTTCTTCTACATCAGCTTTGGAGATCCGAGCTTTTTCTGATGCTGACTGGGCTGAGGATTTCTCAGACTGTAAATCTACCACTGTTTGTGATTTTCTAGGAGATTCTTTAATTTCCTGGAAAAGCAAGAAACAAACAATTGTTGCTCACTCTTCTGCCTAAGCTGGATATTGTGCCATGGCTGCTACTACAGCAGAGAGAGTTTGGTTTTGATGGTTGCTTGATGATTTGGGCGTTCCTTTGTCTGCTGCAACGCCTATGTATTGTGACAACAAAAGTGCTATTCAGATTGCCCACAATTCTATTTTTCACGAGTGTACGAAGCACATCGAGATTGATTGTCATTTTCTGCGCCATCATCTTCAGCTTGGCACCATTTCTCTACCATTTGTTTCTTCTTCTATGCAGTTGGCTGACTTCTTCACGAAGTCCCACACTACTATGCGTTTTAATTTTCTTCTTAGCAAACTCTCGATATCAGAACATGAGGATTTTTTTTTGGGGGCGGGGGGTTGGGTTGGGTTTGTTATTTATGCTTCATCTTCCTTCTTCGGGTTGTGGATATTTTAGAGTCAACCTTTTCAGGTAGGACAAATTTTGTTATCTTTGGTGTTCATTGGGTAATGTTGGACTCTATTATGGCCATCCTTGAGGCTTGGAGAGGTTGTATGGCAGTCAAGTTCGAGATGCTTGGAGGGCAACTTTCCTATGCTTATGGTGGGGTTTGTGGCAAGAGAGGAATAGGAGTTCCTTCGATAAAGAGGAAGCCCCTATTTGGGAGTTGAAACTCTCCATCTTGAGCTCTCTATTTTTTTGGATTAAAGGGTGGTATTGTACATCTATAGAGGACTTTGTAGATTTTCTGGATAGTTGAGAGTAGAGTGGGCCTTTTGTTGGCCTCTTGTGCAATTCTTAAAGATCACCCTTTCTGAACGCATTTCAATGAAATTTTACATAGCCAAAAAATAATTATTTTTTTTTTTCATCTATACAGACTTCTGCATCTTCTTTTTACTTGGGCCAAAAGGTCTTCATTTTCAACCGACATATATCCTGTACTTGAAAAGGTAACATACTTAATAACAGTTCCAGACATCTCAATTCTTCACCATGGATTAAGATGAATTGACATTAGCTAGATTCTGGTAGAAGATCATCGTATAAAAGGATAAATAGAATAAAATACACCAATTATTCAATTGTTTAACCTCCAAAAAAAAAAAAAACAAAACAAAAACAAGGATCAAATGATGCTTTGAGAAGCACTTGCATTTGTAGGCAATGCTTTTATTCCCAGTAAGTATATACCATGTAGGCATCATGCTGCTCCATATAAATAGACCCTAAAGCTGATCCTAATAATAATGAGAATATAAGCTTAGAGAACACCTGCTGTATGCGAACCCTTTTTTGAAAGATTTGGTCCTCAAAAAAATCAACTGACTGAATAAAATGTTCTACTCTGTCCAACAAAACATGATGCTTTAAGAAGCACTTGCATTTGTAGGCAATGCTTTTATTCCCAGTAAGTATATACCATGTAGGCATCATGCAGCTCCATATAAATAAACCCTAAAGCTGATCCTAATAATAATGAGAATATAAGCTTAGATAACACCTGCTGTATGCGAGCCCTTTTTTGAAAGATTTGGTCCTCAAAAACAGCAACTGACTGAATAAAATGTTCTACTCTGTCCAGCAAAACCTGAATAGGTAAATTATAGAACATTAGGGCATTTTTTTAAAAGGGTCGATATTCCATCCTAAACATGCTTTACCTTGAAGGGCAAAAAATTAAGTCATCAAACGAGCAGCATTAGAGAAATGGAAAACATAGAATTGCAAGTGTTATAAAGCATGGGAAGGAAAAAGGTTTAGATTGCATTATCCTCCAAAATAAATAAATAACTATTACAATTTAAGTTGAGAAACAAGACAGGTTCTATCAACCTCATGCATGTCTCCTGTACAAGGAATCAAGCTAAAGCACTTGCGTTAAAGAGTGAAGATATAGCAAGGAAGGGCTAAGGCCAAAGACATCAGAATTGCAAGACCGAAGCCCAGCTTGGAACTAGGATTTTGAAAATTCAATCAAGATTCTTTTCAGGGCCCAAACCAACTGGTCTGACCCCAAACTAAAATATTTAACTTCAAACATAAGAACTTAAATAGAAATGTTTATATACCTCTCAATAGTCAAGTGACATTATTACCTAAAACAGAAGTCTCTGTGAAAGAAAAAATAATAATATTATAACATTAATATAACTAAGATAAGCGAGATAAAATTTCAGCCCAAAAGTTGTGGGACTGTTAATTCAATTCATCATAGCAATGCGGTCTGCATTCAAGAGTAAGAGCATGCAAAGCACAATTGCTGTCCAATTTGGTTGTACTTGTGCTAAGTGAAGTTAAGAAGTTTAACACTGTTTGGAAAGCATAATCCAGAGCAATGTTCTTATTTACTACAATGCACCAGTGCTCCCACTAAATTATAAAACTGAGCCACACACTACAAGGTAACTGACCAAAGTGCTGGACAAGCAGCAACTGCACAAGTCTACACCCATCTTCACAACTGTATTTTCAGTATCAAAGACAAGAAATATATTTGTGTATAGCATAAAAATAGGCCTTTCATCCAAGATCTAACATCCAATAATTTTCTTTGATCATCAACATGGGACAAGCCCCAAAGGTTGATGTCATTAAGTCTCTATATGTGTTTACGAGACATGTAGGCTCTTTTTACAGCTTTTCTAAGACAACAATGTTTTGAGCACAAAAGTCCACGAGTAAACACCAAAAGAAGATGAAAAGTAGTGCCCCTTGTTTCCCTTTTGTTTGTTGCCGATTTTGGGCAGATAGGTTTTCATGTGCGTGAAAATATTTACTTCCGTTGCCCTTTATTTCCCACTTATGTCTTCATTCACACATTTTTCCTTCCCTCTCTTTACTTATTACTGGTTTTCTCCCTACCAGCATATGACTCTGTCTTTAATTTTAGAAATGAAAAATAAGGTCACGGGATATAATCAAATCACTCCTGGTATAAGGGAAGCAAAAACATTTTAATGGACGTAAAATAGAAGTGCATGCCACAGAGATACATCTTCAAAAATCACATATATAATTTTAAACGAAACAGGGATTGAGTAGAATAATTAATGGAAAAAATTACCTCACCCGCATCAGTAAGATAACCGCCCATCGCTGCAAACTCTCTTCTATAAACGTACATCAGTAGATTTATAGCACCCTGAGTAAAAAATAAAAAAAGTTGTCTGCTAATGTAAGAATGCAGTATGAGGGAAGGATTTTCAGTCACAACAGAATAATTTGATTCTTAAACATTATCATTGTTAGTATAAATAATGAGATGAATAATTATTATGTTCCTAACATCTAGAAAGACCAAATGTCATGTTAGCACTATACTATAGAAAAGCAGATGAAGTATTTCTATGATCCTAATCTCGTAAAAAATAAGCTTCAGCCAACTGGATTGATCATAAATCATTAGTGCCAGAGACTGCCAACCAGCTACATACCTCTCGAATTTCCAAAGTCGGCATATGCGGAAGAAAGTCATTGCCAACAAAAAAACATAGAAACACAAAGTCATCCACCAGTCTTTCGAAGTTAATGTCAAACGGGGGATTAAAAACCTCCAAATCATATTGCAGATATTCTCGTAACACCCAGATGTTGAGGAACTGTTCACGCAAAAATTAATAATAATTAATTGAAAAAGAGGGAGGAGATGCAGCTTGAGATTGAAGAATCAGAAGTCAGGAAGTCCTTCAAAAGGGAAGCATGACAATTATCCAACCTGATATTTTTTCTTGTGAATTGGTGTGTCATCAATCACATCTCCAGCTTGGTCACCTGGCCCACCACGACACTCTGCCGCCAGATGGCCAACTTGTCCGCAAAGAAAACATTTCTCCTGCTGTCCAGGGCCTCCAGGCAGAGTGATCACCTGTAGAGTCATCAAATATGATATCATTCTTGAATGAACAATGATTTTATATATATATATATAAATCACGATAACCAGTGAAATTAGCAATTAAAAGAGTATTCCAGAAAAGTAGCTACCAACCTCCCTTAATATCGAGAAGTGAACTTCGTGTGTAGCTAAAGACAGCATAATTAGATCTGCATCCTGATTATGATAAACCATCATTTAGGACTTAGCAAATTGAGAGATCACAATGAACATGTAAATAATTTAATTTACCATAGTTACGAAATACCGTGTGAAAACAAGACAAGAAGAGATCTATATGAGAATTCTTTAATTACAATAAACAAGGACCAACATAAAAGAAAATTACTAACCAGACCATATAGACAATGCCGAGTGTTTGGATTAAAACCAGGAAGGTTACGTTGTAACCGAATGTAGGACATGATTTTGTGTTCTCCCTCACCAGGGACATTTGAATCAGAAAGAATAACCTTCAAATAATCACCGAATGCAGCCCCATAAATAAATTAACAGAGACAAAGTATCCTGAAAACCAAAAGCATAGTGAAAGAATAACCGGAGGGATTACTCCACAGGAAGGGAATCATCCGATCTTGAAGGGATTAAGGGAAAGAAAGAAGTATCTAGAAATGTCCATCAAACCTTTGTGTACCGCCAACCAGGATTGTGGTTCAACCTAGACTGTATATAATACTGAAGTGCCACAGAGAGCACACCCATAAATTGAGTGCCAGGAGTGATGACATTTGAGTCAGATGTTTCAGGCTTTTCTTTAAGAGGTAGATTTTTGCCCTCAGCCTCAAAATCTTTCCTAGATCTTTCTTCTTCAGCTTCCTATAGGTGAAAACAAAACAAAACAAAACAAAAAAATGTTTACCGACATTGTCAATTATAAATCATAATACAAGAGAAAAGAGAATCTTACAGCTGCTGCAGCATCTTTAGCTGCTCTAAATCGACGAGTACGCTGCTGATTCATTTTAGCTCTCGGAGCAACCCCATCTGGAATACTCAAAATTTAGTGAGGATAATTTTAAGAAACTTACCAAAGGATATGTAGTCCAATGGTATAACCTCCCAAGGAGGAGAGGGGTTCGAGCCCGGGTGTGGGCAAAAAAAAGTGTGTGTGTGTGTGTGTTTCTTGCGAATGTAAAAAAAAAAAATTTAAGGAACTTGGAAGATTATAGATTTATAAAATACAGCTTACCAATTGCCATATAAAGTAGCTTTCTTGGGCGAACCAACAAGAAGAGATGATCAATATAATCAAATATTGATTTAAATACATCATCATAAGTAGCAGGCGCAGGCTGCATGTGCAGACAATAAAGTATCGTCAGTCTTTTATTTCCATCATAATATATCAAAGAGATGTGATAATAAGATATTTTTATATATTATATATATATAAAGGGGGAGAGAGAGAGAGGGGATGAGCTAAGATGTTCTTCAATTTAGAACAATAGAACCCCAATACTAATTCATCAAACTTGGATAGTCACATAATTATACATTACAAGCGAAACCTGTGTTTGAACAATTTTGCAAGAAGAATGCACAACAAATTCATTACAGCCAACAATTGACCAATTCAATTGCAGTCAAATGTAAAGCAAAAGAGCAATATATAGGTGGCAAGTAGCGGGGAAGACTCTAGGTAACCATACTGGAGACCGGATCAAATCTCACCTTCATCAAGGTTTGGCTTTTGTCAAAGTATGTGGGAATATTCATGTAATGAGCGTAATTAGTGGGATTTTACCACGTGGGGTATTATTTTAAATCTTATTTTTCACAAACATAAATATAAGGGTGTAGAGATGTCAGACGCATTCTACAACCTTTCCTCATACTCTCTCTTTCTCTTCTTTTCTTTCCCTCTTCAAACCCTAAACATCTAAACCTTAGAATATAATAAAAAAAAGTAGCTCAACTTGGTAATAGAGCTAGTAATAAATATCAGAAGGAGGTCACAGTATTCAAAAGAGTAAATAGAAGGCCAGGAGGTCTACTGACATCAGCGTCTGTAGGCTGACATAAGCACGTTAAGGCCCAAAACCATCCCCCTGAATCGCCTCTTCCTGCATAAGCACGTTAAGGCCCAAAACCATCCCCCTGAATCGCCTCTTCCTGCTGAGCATGCTGGAAAAAAAAAATTCCTAAATTTTTTAAAGCCATTTTCAAGTGCTTTCCATTTTTCAAAACTTTTTCCAACAAAGGGGCAGCTTATTTCGATATGCTTTTTGAGCTGCGTTGGTTGAATTTTTTTGCTTTAATCCATCACAGAGGGGTGCAACTAGGCCATCTGAATGATTTTGTTGAGTTTAGTTGCACGATTTGAAGGATTGCATGGTTTTTTGCTTGATTTGGACTTGCAGCTCCTGTAGAATCCCTCCTGTTGATGTGTTGTGGCATGTTATCCTTGGTCCAACCTTGCATTTGGTTGACATTCGATACTTTATGGATCGCTTTGCCCCAGTAAATAGTCCTCAGAGAGATCAGCAATCAGGACAGCCTCGTGTTGATGGCAAGAGCGGGAGCTCTAAGAAGGACCAGCTAAAGTGTGATATCTATGAGAAGACAAGGCACACTAAATATCATTGTTGGAAATTCCACAATCATCCCACCAGAGGACGAGATGGTGGTTGATCTGGCACAGGAAGATCGCATCGGGGGAGATACTACCACTTTTACCGCAGATAAGTTGCAGACACTTCAATGCTTGATGGCTCCTCTTAATACTCCATCTGCCTCAACTTCTACTACAGCCTCATCTTCTTCTCACTTTACTCACACAGGTACATCTACAAGTGCTTTTAGTGTCTTTCCACCTTCCCGAGTCATTGATTCTTATCTTTTCCCCCCCTTATTTCACATGTTCTGCTAGGGATAAAACTAGAGTTGCAAATGTGTCATCTATCTCTAGAAAGGGACTTGTGGAATGCTCCCCATTCATGTCACTTTCTTCCATATTACATGTTCCAAATTTCTCTACTAATTTACTTTTCTATGAGTTGTATCACCGGATCTTAAAATTCAGTTGGAGATCTCATCTTTCGGTGATAATTCGTGTGTATATCGGTTGGAGATCTCATCTTTCGGTGATAGTTCATCTTCACGTCAGGCTTTTCTTCATGCTGATGATTCTCCGGCAATCCAACAACTACATTAGAGGCATGGGCGTTTTGGTCATCTAACTATTAGCATATTATAGAAACTTTTCCCATTTTGGTAAAGCATGTTATAAAAATAGTTTTATTTGTGATGTTTGTGAATTTGCAAAACATCAACGGAACTCTTATCCTATTAGTAATAATAAAAGCACTGTATCTTTAAGATCGTTCATTCTCGTGTATGGAGACCCTCCAAGGCTAATTCTGGATGCGTCAGGGAGATCCATTATCCCCACTTTTGTTCATCATTGTGATGGAGGGGCTTAGTAGATTGATGGGGAGGGTTGTGGAGGTGGGCTTCATCTGGGGTTTTAGGGTGGGAAGGGATGATATGCATCAGCTGGAGATTTCTCACTTGTTATTTGAAAATGAGACTCCTGTTTTTTGCGAGGCTGAGGTGTCTCAAATGAGATATTTGAGGTCGGTGTTGATCTGTTTTCAGGCAGTCTCGGGTTTGAAAGTGAATGTGGGGAAGAGCGCTTTGATTCCAGTGGGTGAGGTTCTGGAGATTGAGGAATTAGCTTCTGTTCTTGGTTGTGGAGTTAATTCTTTTCCGATCTCTTACCTGGGTTTGCCTCTGGGGGTTTCTTCGAGGATTGTAGGTGCTTCGGATACGGTGGTGGAAAGGGTGGAGAGAAGGCTTGCAGGGTGGAAGAAGCAATATTTATCAAAAGGGGGGAGGGTTACCTTGTTGAAAAGCACTTTGTCAAGCATTCCCACATATTTTTTATCCCTTTTCCAGATTCCCACATATTTGAAAGAATTCAGAGGAACTTTTTATAGGGAGGTTTAGGGGATGAGCTTAAGTATCTGGTTCGTTGGGAGCAGGTGTGTAACCCTGTTAAGTTTGGGGGAATTGGGATTAGGCGACTGTTGCCTTTTAACAGGCATGTTAGGTAAGTGGTTGTGCAGATTTGGTATTGAGCGGGATAGATTGTGGAGGAGGGTGATCTTGTGTCGCTTTGGGGAGGGAGAGGAGGAGGAGGAGGGGGGGGGACCTAGGGGTGTCGGTGTTTGGAAAGCCATTCGGAAGGGATGGAATGAGTTTTCTAAGTATATCAGATTCAGAGTTCATGATGGTAGGGAGATTCGGTTTTGGGAGGATGTGTGGTGTGGAGACCGCAATTTAGCGTGCTCTTTCCCTAGACTTTTTAGGATTGCGGCTAATAGGCATGCCTTGGTGGCTGACTGCTATCGCCTTGATGGCGGGAGACCGGTTTGGGACGTGCTTTTTCAGCGATCTTTTCAAGATTGGGAAATGGATGATGTTTTTGGTTTTTTAGAGTTGTTGTATAGCCAGGTGATCCGTGGAGGAGGTAGGGATTCTCTTGTTTGGATTCCATCTTCTAGGGGAATGTTTAGTGTGAGATCTTTCTTCGGATGCCTTTTGGACTCAGATGGGGTGGTTTTCCCTTAAAGGCAGTGTGGCAAACTAAGGCGCCATTGAAAGTGACCTTCTTTGCTTGGACGGTTGTGTGGGGTAAAATTTTGACGCTGGATAATTTGAGGAGGAGAAAGCATACCACGGTGAATTGGTGTTGCATGTGTAAGTGCAATGGCGAATCGGTTGACCATCTTCTTTTGCATTGTCCAGTGGCGAAAGGTCTGATGGACACCTGGAGAGGGGGGTGGGTGGGAGCACAGGCTCGAGGGTTCTAGAGGATGGCGCCTCTGTCTCTTTGGTGGTGCCTGTGGAGGGAGCGGAATAGAAGAACCTTTGAAAGAGAGGAATCTTCCATCATTGTTCTGAAATCTTATGTTATTAGCTCTCTCTTTTTTTTGCGGTTGGGTAGACTTTGTTCCTCTGCTGAGGAGACTGTTGAGTTTTTGGCGTCCCTGGGGCTTAGGGTACCCAGGTTTTTGTGGTTTTGTAGAGACGCGTTCCCCTTTTGAACGCTTTTAATGAATTGCTTAATTATCAAAAAGGATTGTTACTTCTATTGATTGCTTTTCTCAAATTTCCTGGGTATATCTATTACATCATAAAAGTGAGGCATCTAACATTTGACACAGGGACGGAGCCAAAAAAAAATTTGGGGGGCGGGGGGGGGAGATACAAATTACATAATAATGTATACACATATAAATAAGTGTTTATGGAATATATATATAAGAAATATTGTTTTTTTAAGGAAACATGTATAATATACAAGGGAAGGAGAAATTTCAAGAGGGTCATTTTTACACATTTCCAAAAAATATATACATATTATAGGGAAATATATATAGAAAATAAGGGAAGGAAAAAATCGAGGGGGGCCCGTCACCCCCCCCCCCCCCCCCCCCCCCCCGAGGGGCGGGTCCTATACTGCCTCCATCCCTGATTTGACAAGATGGTATGTACCCAAGTTGATGCCAAGATCAAGATTATTAGAAGATAATGGAATAAAGCACAATGAGGGCGCTTTTCAACCATACCTAGTCGAGCATGGGATTGTTTGAAACCAGTTGAGTTGATACTCCTACACAGAACGTTGTGATTGAAAGAAAAAAGTTGCCATCTTACTGAAGTAGCTCACTCTTTAGTGTTCAACATGCTCTTCCTTAGATTTTTTGGGGTGGTAAAGACACAAGGGTGCCACCCTCCAAAAAAAATATGGGCTAGAGAGCCCACTATACAACCTCGCCAAGTCTCAATCAACCCTAAAAAAGTCCGAAGCATAACCCAGTGAATCCCGAACAAAGATGAAATCAAACCCAAACTGTCCCTACCTACCGGGCAATGCAACAAAAGGGGACCAATTGTCTCTTCATCTCCCTTGCACATAGAACACCAACTCACATACCCTCCTCCTCAAATTGTCACACATCAGAATCTTCCCCAGCATTGCCGTCTAACAAGAGGAAGCCACCTTTAAGGGGGACTTGGTGCGCCACACAGCCTTCTAGGGAAAAGCTTCCCCTGAATCATCTGAAAGCTTCCCACAGAAGGAACAAACATCAAACCTCCCCTGAGAAGAAGGTGTCCATACCAAGGAGTCATCCCCCACAACAACCTCCTGGCAGTAAAGGAAATACAAAAGCTCAAGAACGTCATCAAGCTCTCAATCCTGGAAATGCCTCACAAAACACACATCCCAAATCGTCCTCCCACCATCAAGGTGATAGCAATAGGCAACTGTAGCATGCCTATCCGA